TGAATAGTGTTATACCGTGGCTTATTCTTGCCCATGTGGACAGAAACACACGTCTGGATTTTTGACCAGGGTTAAGACGTGGCTCCCCAAAGTGGCTGTAACATTTTATTCTGCCCTCACAAGCAAACCCACAAGGCAGGTGTTTGGCCACAAGACAGTGGATTTTGGAGTGCAGATAGGCTCTGCTTTTAACTGGCCCTGGATTCTGGGTAAGATGGCTCATGAAACAGTCCATACACAGTTCACTGGTTCCAAGGGACAGAAGGCGCTGGGTTTCACAAGCCTTTATGAGTTTCCAGACTCAAGGGCTGCAATTGTCTTGGACATAAAAACTCCCAAAGAATCCCAAACCCTGGGGCAGGAGATGGTGCAACACTGCAGTTCCCCCCAAGGCTGCTCGGCATAATGGAGAAGATACAGAACCGAGGGGATTTCTGAGCTACCCTGGAACTCTGAATGGGGCTTTTGCTTCAGTACAGGGTGGCTTCCACCTCCCAAGCATTGCATCAAGGCTCTCACCCAACCTCTGGTCTGGAAAGGAAGAATGGATTTCCACTACTGCAGGCTCTCATTGCAGAACCACTACCTTCCTCCTTGCCTGTTCCTCCTCCCCCCGAAAAAGCAACTGCCCCAGGAATGATGCAATTGCCACTTGGGTTCCACACCTTGCTCCATGGTGGGGAAATAAAAATAAAAGCAGAACAGCTCTGCATTTTGTTGGTCTGCAGTTAACCCAGGGCCTCTGAAGGCCAGCTCGGCCCTGGCACTTTTGGAAGCGTGTCACCTAGTCCCCTGGAGTTAGGTAGTGCTGTGCAGTGGTGAGATCAAGCCAAATGCTAGGTGGCCTATGAAAGGCTGGCTTAAGTAATTTGAAAATGTTCCTAAGCAAACAGCACTGATGGAAGTTAACACGAGAACTAAGTCATTTAGCAACAGACATTCTTTAAAAGGCTCATTCCAATAAGCAGCTCTCTTTTCAGGGGATGGAACAGGGATCCAAATCGGACGTACCACAGCAGGGTCTGGAATCTAAGTCTACATGGCCAAGATGCTTCTGTATTTACATCTGGCTTCATCCTCTGATTAAGTGTCACTCTAACTTTGCTACAGTGGCTGATAGATCTTGGCCAACGGCTATGTGTGGACCCTGATGGCATCCTGCATAGCCAGACCTCTTCACATTATGACACGGACAGGACAAGTTCATTACTTCTGAAATTGCTGCCTGCAGAACAGACTAGTAGCCTGGGAAGTTTCTGTTAGTGTGGTGGGAATTCAGAGACCAGTTTGGCTGCCTGAGGATTATTCTGTTACTTTTAACACAGGGGCAGATCCGGCCAGCCAACCGGGTTCATCCGGCCCGCGGCCAGGCCACCCCGCCACCCCCTCCCCAGGCCAATAAAGAGCTGGGGACAGAGGCGCACAAAGTCTCCTCCCCATACTAGGGGCATACAGCACCAAAGAGAACCATGCACCCCTGGCAGGGCGGGGGAGCCAGGGACTATGTCCATTCCCCCATGCCTAGGAGAGGCAGAACTGGGAGGGGAGGAGAGGGGAGGGGAGGGGCCTCCTGAACTAAGGGGAAAACCTCCCTTCAGCCCCCACAAAGCTACTGCATTCTTTCTTCTTTCCTTCCTTCATTCCGGGAAGTCTCCTCACATCGCTAGTGGTGTGCAAGGCCTAGAGGGAACCACCAGCTGTTCAGTTCTCTCTAGGCACCCCTCCCCTGGCAGGGTGGAGGGCAAAGACTTCACTGCTCCCCCACCCCCAGGTCAATCAGAGTCTAGGGGCAGAGGAGCACTCAAGGTCCCCGGCCCTGCCCCTTCTGAGGCACCCCTTGACCACTTCTGAAATTCACAAGCAGCCCCCCTCAAAAATTATTGCCCACCTCTGCTGCAACAAAATGGAGAATAAAAAAAATTAAAGACCTTAAAATTCAAAGAAATCCTGTACTCTGGCTCCTAATAATTCCACATGCAGAAAATCACATGAAATCTCACACAACTTGCTGAGAATTTCCTTCCGTCACTGAAAATAGGCCCAGAGTCCTTATAGTTTGCTGTAAATTGCTCTCTCAGCAGGCACCTATCAAAGAATTCCTGAGGATGTGTGGGGAGTGATTATTTGTGTGAACACACAGAGAATGCCATTCCCACAGCTTGGTACTGTCAGAGCAATGCCAGATCTCCATCAAATCCGCTGCTATCAGCAGCACTTCTTAACTCGGCAGCGCTTCTGGTACCACCCCGATTCAGCTCGCGGCTGAGAGAGAGCCTATTATTCCATACGGCAGCTTCCTGGATTGTCAAAGGGCAGCCAACGTTTGTGGCAATGAAGTAGCTCAACTAGTAAGCAGGCCTGGCACTAGCAGATACTTTGCCTATTCCAAATAAGGCAGCTGGAGGTTTCCACACGTTTTCTCTCTGCTTGATTCTTGGAGCATTTTCTGCTAGAAACAAAGCACATTCTGGTGATGGTGGTGGTAAGCCAACTATTTCACCTCCTTTCTGCTCCAAGGAAGCAGTGGATCTGGTGTGTGTTCTGGAAGGGCTGTAGGATACCCCTTCAGGTCCTAAGCCAGGAAGGCAGATCGAGGTCAATTCCTGGGACATGCCCAGTCTGTCCTTACGAGTTCAGTAACAGTTGAACCAAACCGATCACCACCCTGATGGGTCTGGCTAAGCCTGGGGAAGTGGTGGTCCTGCATGGGTCTCCTACCCTGGGGAGCAAAATGCTGCAACTCCTCCCACTGATACTGCTCTTGGTATCCATTCCACACCATCGCCTCGCCTCTCTCTGCTTCCGGGGAAAAAGTGCCTACAGAGGTCAGGTGCAGCTCATTCACTGTCTGCACCCTCCGCCAGCCTTGTGACTTTGTCAAGAGGCTGCAGGGGGCTTGTCTCCGCTCCACTCCAGCAGAAGCAGTTACCGCATCACTCGACATGCTCCAATTCGGAGCTGCAGGCACTACGCAGTGGAGCTATTTCTAGCGGTTTGCCTGAAGACTCATTAATAAGTCATAAGCTGCCAAGCAGAACAGTCAAGAGAAGGAAACGGTTGTTCAGGCAGATGAAAGTTACAATTGAATCACTGGGGTTTTTTTTAAACCCAGGCGGGAGTAAGAACTCTCTCTCCATGGGAAATGCTCCGCTCCGTCGGCCCTGAATGCAGCTGGAGACCCAGCAATGGGATACATATTGAAACCAGCTTCCTCCCAAATTCCACCAGCCCCAGAGCATCAAGTCACTAAAACTGCATCTGTTGGATGAGAGAGGCCGCTCCCCAGGAGATGCAGGGAGGTAACAGATTGGACAGGGAAAGCATTAAACCCTCTGGGTTCCAGGGACCAGAGAGCTACTGCAAAGCTCCATCCCGTTTGACAGCTGCCTCTGCCTGATGGGGAGGTGAATGCTCACAGAGAATGCTGGCAGGGCCAAGACTCCAGAATCGCCCTTGAAATCTGACCCCAAGCTGCACTAGGCCCCTTTACCAAGCCCTGTCTGACAGTAAAAAGGGCCTGAGGAACGAAGTGCACAAAACGGCTTCATTAATGGAACATTAACAACCCCTTCATCTCTGGTTCCTCGACCTGCCCTGGATCTTAGCTCTTTGGGGCCAAGAAAGTGCCAATGATCGTGAGAAAGCACCACATCAGAGAAATAGCTAATCCCAACGGCAGCAGCCATCTTTCCTGTAGGTTCCTTTGTTCCTACAGCTCAAGTTCATTGTGCTGAACTAAAACCCAGCATGGGGATCTCTCCAGACCGCTGTGGCTCTTCCTCCCACTCAGAGCCCAGCGTAGCAAATCCCCTGCTTGCCGTCTCTACTGATTCCAAAGGCACTGTCTCTGGCACAGCTGAATCTGCTGTATCTGTGCAGCTCCAAGCGGGCTGGCTTATGTACTGCAAACACGGAGAGATAAAGCACAAAGCAGTCGCTCCTTGGGGGAGGTTGCCCTCTCGGAGGAAGAAAGCTGGCAAACCCAGCCTCCCTCGTTCCTCAGAGTCTGCAGGGCTCTGCACAGCTGCCTGGTGCACTGTCCGTTAGCACCACTTGGTGTCTGGCCACTGCAGAACTTTCATGCTTCACTGGCCAACTTGCCCTGCTTGGTTAGAGCCCCCCCCCCACGTACGTCCTTAGCACAAGCTGTCGCTCCGCAGAGGCCACAGCCCCACCCCAGACTTGGCCGAGGGCTGATGTTCTGACAGTGTAGCATAGACCCCAGGCTCAAGGGGTGACGTCTGCCTGTTGTATGAGTGTTGGAGGGTGTATCAGAACAGACAGGAGCTTGTTTGAACTCCGTAGCACCTTCTCCAAAGGCTGGGCGGTAAGTACAGGCCTTGAGAGTGCCCAGGACAAAGCCCGGCTCTGGTAATCATGTTTCACCACCCATTTCATTTCCAGTTAACTAAGGAATCATCTGACCGCCTGTTCTGCACTGCGCAGCCTTGCTGAACACTCTTGGCTACGTTCCACCCAAGAGGTGGCTGCACTGCAGTGATATCGCATGGGCTCCATGGGTCAGTGTAGGCTTGCAAAGTGCTTGAGGAGCTTTCTGGGCAAGAGCAGACATAAAACCAGTGATCTCAGAGTCACCTCTCAGTGCCACTAATCAGCAGCCCCTACCGGTGTCCCTGGAAGCTGGGCACTTGAGCATTCACTCAGGAGAGATGCAGGTGATGCCCAGCTGATTAGCAGAGCGCCCACAGCTAGCAGCATGTGTTTCCATTGGTGGTGCACATCTGCACAGCCTTGATGAACATAAAATGTATTCTGCACAGATTGAAAAACGTAGAGGGAACGTTGCCCCTGCCCGCTCCCCAACTATTTCCAAGAGATTGCTGGCCAGAAGCCCAGATTCCCCCTCCCGGGAAGCCACTGCTCAGCATTTCAGGGAACTGCCAGGGTCCCGTTTGCAGGAGCCCCCAAATGGAGGTGACCTCCACTAGACGTGGAGTGAGCCCCCCGCTCTCCCTGGTGCGGTAGCAGATGCTCCTTACCTGCAGATTGTTGAGAGGCTCCATTTTCATGACAGGCCCCAAGGTGTTGAGGGGAAGGGAGACGTCAATGCTTTGGTTTGGCATCAGCGGAGTGTGAATGGCCAGAGGGGTGCTGGGGATGACTCCAAAGCTGGCGAGAGAAAGCCAGAGGGCGTTTACACAGCACGGCCAGTTACTCTAAGGAGCAGTGGGCTGGGCCGGCTGCTCAAAGGGTCTCCCTGCTCTCCATGTCAGCCTCAGCTGGCCTAGCTGGGCCCCACTCCCTAGGGGCCAGGGAAAACAGGAGAATTTGCAGCAGGGTGGTTGCACTTGAGTCTCCCTGACAAGGCCCACCCTGGCCAAGGGAGATCACTGCCGGCAGCATTTCCATGTCCCTCCCCGGGCCAGTCCCCTGGGGAAGCACTAGCCTGCTCTGCGAGGAGAGCTGGTTAGCACGTGAAGTTAAAGGCTGGACAGACAGCAGAGGAGGCAGACAGGCAGTTGTGGCTGCTGAGTCCAAGGGGGAGCGCAGGGCAGGGAGAGGGCAGCCACAGAGGAGGTCGCAGCAGGGCTGCCACGGCTGGCCCTGACGGGTGCAGCGTCTCTGCGGGAGCACAGTGGCCAGAGAAGCGGGGATTTACACTCACTCGTCCCCTCCCGCTCAGTGGCAGGGTTTCTACGGCTCACCATGCTCCGCAGGGCTTGTCTGCAAGTGCAATTCAAGGGGTTCACTTGGGCTGAGACCAGCTGCCAGTGGCCGGGTCTCTGCTGCCGCACCCCTCTCAGGGGCGGGGATCAGTAGGACAGCTAAGCCAACGCTGCTTGAAACTGAATTCCAGGCAACTCAGTAAGGGCCATTCTGCCCTGACATTTGCTTTCCCCATCTGACTTCAGGAGGAGCCACTGTAGGGCCTGGTGACTAGAGGGCCCAGGGCTCCTTGCTGTCGTTACTGCAGTGGCAGGGGTGCTTGGAGCCCAGAGCCCTTTAAATTGCTGCTGGAGAACCATGCTGTGCACTCCGGTGGCCTAAGGGCTGTGGGGGGGCCCCGTGTGACATGCTCACCGTCCTGCCCCTTCTGCCCAAGCCATCTCCCCTTCCAGGAGAGCAGAGCCACCCCCCCTTGCCTAGAGGGTCTTCCTCAGAACTTTACTCTTGGGCCTTTGTCTGAGGCAGGGGTAGGGAACCTAATACCCAGGAGCTAGATACATCCCCCAGCTTGCCTGGATCTGGCCCCCTGGGCTTGGGGCTCCCCCTTCCCAGCACTGGGGAGCCCATACTAGAGCTCCAGCCCCTCTGCCATCTCCCTGTGAGGCTGGAGCCCATAAAATCTACTAGCCTAGGCCCCCTCTAGGCTCTGCTGTGTGAGGGGAATGCAGGGAGTCTCTCTCTGTCTCAGTCAGGGGCCATGTCAGTGAGGAACTGGGGAGGAGGGGGAAGGGGTTGTTTCTCAAATGTGTGTGGCCCCTGACTCATTTTTCTGGGAGTCAGCTACCCTGCCCCTAGTCTGAGGGGTGGTGGGCTGCATTTCCCTGCCAGGCGGGAGCGACTCTCTGGGGACGGGTGCACTAGAAGCACCCAGTGTGGAACTTCTTCACCTGGCCACCCCCTCGGCAGCCATGTGATTCTGAAGAACTGCCCTTCAATCTCTGCCCACATATTCCAGCCTATTAGTCTGGCTGCCTCTCTGCTGAGCCCCTTCGTCCCAGGATTCAAGTCAGAGAGATGTCCCTGCGCCACCCATAACCTGGAGGTGAGGTGACTAGGAGGGCTGGCCTAGGCCGAGAGGGCACATCAGAGTTCAGCTCTTCCAAAGGCCCAGGGAGTCAGCTGACACAGGAAGGGAGATCTGTGTGCTCTCCATGTTACGCTACCCTGCCAGCTGCAGCTCCTTCCAGCAAAGTGATTTTGCTGCCTATTGTGCTTGCCACAGGCTATTTTACCTGGCGATTTGATCTCCAACAAATAACTTTATTTAAGAAGGCCTGTGTTTCCAGACAGTTTACGGCTTGCATGGAGACTGCACTCCTTCTCAATTCAATTTGGAAATGCAGCCAGTCATCTACTCATGGGGGACAGTTGCATCTGCTGACTCAGCAGCCTGTCAGCTTAGCTGTACTTGGCTAGGGCTTTACTAGCTATAAAAACACTGTTCAGCCTTAGAAATCCAGCGGCTGTTTCAAAATGTTGCTGACACTGGAAGCGGGGGGAGCTGCAGCTTCAGAGCTACAAGAAAGAAGAGGACCATATGCTTGCTTTCTCACCAAGCCAGGGCTGACTGCAGAGAACAGACTGTATTAAAAATAACACAGATGCATCAATCAATGATATTTTCGGTTGTATTTCACACAACCCATAGCTAGAACTCGTCATCACATCACATTAAGCCTTCGCTTGCAGGACTGAAATACACATGAATATCAGGGACCGTCTGGGTGTTCAAAATCATTCCTTACAAGATCTACCCCTAGAGCAGGTGGAAGCAGCATAAATGGCTCTAGGAGGCATTTCCCCCACTCTAGAGACTCACCTTAGCCAGTCAGAGCCTCCATTGGGTTACTAAGGGCTGCACTGTGGCTTTTTGCCCTGGGGTGGACTCACTTCCAAGTGGATGAATGTGTCAGTCTCATGCTGCAGTTACTAGACACAGAGTGCAGCTTCCAAAGCCACTCAGTGCTGGCTCAACTCTACTTCTACAGAAATCAAAGGATGTTTTACTGCTGGCCTCACTGAGAGAATGGGGGGTGGGGGAAGAACAGAGCATTCTTGCAAGTGCCGTGCACAGGAGCCATGAGCCTTCTCAAAAAAGTTTGGCACGTCCAGCATTTACCTGCCGAAGCAATCTAAGGTGCTGGGCCGAACACATTCACAGTTCTTGCCCTGACTGCACGGAGACCAAAAGAGGGTCTCACCAGGACGAGGGCTCTGCTTTGACTCACCACACAGGAGACCTGCACCTATGGGCGACAAGTACAGGTAACTAGCCAGCCCCTACACTGAAGGGCTACGTCTACACTGGCATGATTTTCCGAAAATGCTTTTAATGGAAGAGTTTTCCATTAAAGGCATTTTCGGAAAAGCACGTCTAGATTGGCAGGACGCTTTTCCGCGAAAGCACTTTTTGTGGAAATGCGTCCATGCCAATCTAGACGCAGTTTTCCGCAAAAAAGCCCCAATCGCCATTTTCGCCATTGGGGCTTTTTTGAGGAAAACAGTTCTGTGCTGTTTATACTGGCCCTTGTGGGCAAATGATTTGCACAAGAGGGCTTTTGCCCGAACGGGAGCAGCACAGTATTTCCGCAAAAACACTGACGATCTTACATGAGATCTTACATGAGATTGTCAGTGTTCTTGCGGAAATTCAAATGGCCAGTGTAGACAGCTGGCAAGTTTTTCAGCAAAATCACATGATTTTGCGGAAAAACTTGCTAGTCTAGACACAGCCAAGGGGTTTTAAAGACATCCCATTGCCACTGATTTTTTTATTGTATTATTGTCAATTGAGGAAAGTTTTCAGTGCAGCTTTAGAACAGTTGCTTGCTCCTCTTCTCTGTTACCTCTTCTTATGATGTTCTGCCAGTAAACGGAAGGGATTTAATTAGCAAGGGGCCAGTGGCAGCCTGCAGATCACTACCTGGATAGATCAAGGTAGCTACTTTAATCCTGTTTAATGGTTTGGGATTTGCAACGTGCAGCCAACGGAAGAACGAGTTGTCGGGATTTGTTTTAAATCCCACAAGGACACTGACAATTGTGCCCTGGAAGGCTCATGTCTAGAACAGAGAAATGGGACCGTATCCCCTTCCTACCACCACAGGTAGGGCGGGTTTCTTACCTGTTCTTATTAAACTGAATGGCAAAGTCAGTCATGTGCTGCAAAGCCTTGTTGGTGAAGTTCATCTCCATGTAGATGTGTCCCTGCCTATGAGTGAAGGTTCCTGAGATCTCCAGTCCTTTAGCCTTCACCGCAGGCAGCCAAACCTGAAACGCAACAAGAAACCCTGTTCGGTGGTGGGAGAAACCTTGGGAACCCTGTGGAGTTCTCAAACATCTGAAGGGAAAGGCTCCGCATCAGGCAATCCATTCATTTGGCAGCTGTTACGGTGTCCACAGGGACCCAACTGCACACAGGGCCCAGGAATCTCAAAACATCAGGCTCACCAATGAGCAACACCCAACCTGCTGCTCCTAGCCTGTTTACAAAGCTCCAGCAGGAGCTCTGAAATACCACCACACTGAAGTGCACAAACATGGAAGGGGGCTATTGGCTAGACCGGACTAATCTAAGGATAAGGCAGGTTCCTCCAGGAAGCACGTCAGGATCACACTGAAGACTGAAACAATTACAATCAATGAGGCTGGCGTTCTTCGCTGCTTCTGAAGAACCTTTGTGGGGAATCATGATCGGCAGCAATGGCAAACAGCGCAGGACCATAGCACCGGCCAGCCTGCCCATGGCTGATGTGCTCAGGACTTGGTCTAACAGCACATCTAGGCAGACTCGCTTTGTGAAAAGTGCTGGATTTACATGTGATCAATGGAGCAGTGGACAGTGGTTTTTCACTGGACACTTGGGGGGACCAAATACGCTCTTGTATTTGGCACAGCACCAGGAGGCAGCCACATGCTGAAAACTTGGCATAAGGCGCATACCAGTTTATGCACATGGGTTTCATATTATTGTAAGGCTGTAGCTAGCTATTCCTCTGTCGGCCACTTACTGGGATGAACCAAGAAGTGGCAGCTCCAAACAAAGTGGCAGCGAGCACACTGGTGCCACAAGCAACAATTCAGTCCTTCAGTGTGACCCAGGCATGGGAAAAGCTAAATGCCAAGTCCAACAGCCGTTCTGGCAAGACATGCTTTCCCCACAGATCTAGCTTTGCACTGGGTAGTCTAGCTTGGCCACAGCCATGTTAGCAGGACCCTGTTCTGTGGATGCTGAAGAATCATCAATAACTGGATTAATCATGAACATTGTCAGGGCTTTTAATAACTCTCTACAATCAGGTGCAAATCCAGGGTGCTCATGAGCACGATGCTCACACCAGCCAGATATTTCTTTTATTCCCTCTGAAATAAGACTCCCTCATACCAATGGATACTCTGTTTATTGATCAGCACTAACGATTGCACGAGTGGTGCTAAATCTGGGGATCCTGCTACAGGCTGAACCTCTCTAGTCCTGTATCCTCAGGACCTGACAGGTGGTGAACCAGAGAATTTGCCCAACTGCAGGAGGTCAATATTGTCCAGCAGCATTCCCAACACTTCCACTGCTTGCTGGGCTCTCAGAAGACATTTAGGGGTAAATTAGGGCTAAATAACAGCACAGAACATTGAGAGTCAGGACTGGTGGTTGTAAACAAATGAATGGGATTGTGGGAAAATTGGCCACACCTTTGATAAGCGGACATCCAGCTCACTAACTTCATGCTGGAACACGGATGTTGCTGGACCACAGAGTGCTGCACTAGAGAGGGTCAACCTGTACTAGGACATCTAGCTGGTTGCTGCCTAACGGGGAAAGTGGTAAAGTCCAGATTTTTGCAGCTCTTCCTTATGCTAATATCCCCTTACTGGCAATAGGAGAGAAATGCTGAACTGGTTAGATTTGTCTTCAACGCTCGCTGTCACTCAGGGGGGAGGGGAAAGGAGGAGAGGACATAAGATATACCAATGGGAAGTAACTCATAGTCCAAAGAGCACGAAGGGGACAACTGAATGGCTTCATTAACTCCATGCTGATGAAGCTATATCACTGGGGACCAGCATACTGTAGCAAAGTCTCCCTTACGTACTGATTTTGGAGCCACGTATCCCCCAGGAGCCATGCCTATGCCCGAAGACAGTTCAAACAGGTCGTTGAGCCCACTGCTAACCACCGCTGGGGTGGGCGAAGGAGCAAAAGTCGCAGGCACAGATGATGGAATGAAGGTCTGGCCCACCTGCAAGAGTTAGAAAGAAGGGGTAGAGATGAATGATGCACACACAGGACGTTGTTTATTAAATAAGGCAATATCCTGAATATTTTAAAGCACTTTAGAGCTTCCCTGCTGAATTATCAATAGCGCTAAATGTCTGTGAATTTCAGAGCTTCTGGAGCAGTCTCCACACTCTTTGCTGTCCTGATACCACTTGAGAGCCTTGAAATCACTTCTAGTAGTCCCCTCCCTGTCTACGTAGAAAAATAAAGACCACGAAGGCTTGAGGACACACTTTAGGAACAAGTCTGCCTACACCCAGCAAAAGGACAAGATGATCTAAATCCTCTTCCTTTCTCCATGCTAACTGCCACGCTTCAGACCAAAGGACTTTGGCACATCCAGAAATGGTGGAGGAGCCACGATACAACTGCAGAGGAGCTCGCTATTGTTAGTCCCAGGATCAAAACCGGTTCATTCCACTGCAGATTGGCAATCTAGTCCCATTGCTTGCCGTTAGGAACACCAGGAAACCGGGGCCACTCTAAAGATGACAATAGCTCTGCCTCCTTTTGCTCATTCAAGTCAGGAAAGGCTCTCTCCAGAGATGGCAGATCCACCCTGAAGGACCCAACCACTTTTGAATGACCCACTACCATTCACTGTGATTATGGCCATCTGTTTTCGCACATCCAGTAGTTAGTCAAGCAGCAGCATTGGGGGGAAAATTATATCGTTATTATACTAGGGGGAGCTTTTTTACTGGAAAAAATTGAGGGCACTTACTGCCGGACTTCCTCCAATGCCCCCGCCAAGGTCACTGCCAAGCTGAAAGAGAAAGGGGAGAGAGGAGAGAAAGGCAGAGTTCATTTAAGCTAGGTCCTGGATGCCAAGAACAGAGTTTGCAGTTCACTCAACAGAACTGCTGCAAGCGCGCCTCATGCACTTACCATGCACAGGACAGATGAACTGTTGTGAAAGCACATGGGTGGGGGGGAGGGGAAGAGGTTCACATGCTAATCAAGCTGCATAGAGAAGAAGCTGGTGACTAGGCTAACACCTTGTAATGTTTCAGATAAACATGTTTCAATTCATCTTCCCACTGGGGCTGCGTGCTTTAAAGGCTGGTGAATAAAGGCTCCCACCTAGCCTTGGTTTTGCAAAGGCTGTGCAATTTTGTGTGTTTCATGCACCAGCACTTTTCTGCGAACCTCACAATGTCAGCTACCAGCTCTCTGGAAATCCAGCAGGGGTAAACCCGGTGGAAGAGAACACGGAGAAGGAAGCTCACTGCAGCTCCAGGGGGTAGCTTCTAGAGTGCAGAAAAACCAAAGGCTTCACAATTATTGACACAGATCTCAGCTGGATCCTTTTAATGTGCCACTCATTTTAATATCCACGGAGGGGGAAGGATTGGACCTCCAATGTGCCCACTGCTCACGCAAGCTCCACAAGATGTGTTTTCCTGCTGCTGTCAGAGCCTGGAGAGCACAACGGAACCCAGGTTTTTAATCAAGGATTCCTCTGATGCTACTAAGCTAAAACTGTCCAAGAACCCTCTGGTTCCAAATTCTTTCATCTCTGCTGTCCTCCTCTGGGTCTTTGCCTTTGCCCGTTTACGGTGAAGCCTTCCCTTGCTCTTTACGCTCACTGTGAGCTCCCTTGTTTGTCTGAAAGTTGTGAAGCCCATGAGACAATCTGTTTTTACATTTGCAGCCTTCTGGATTTTTAAGAGAAAATTCGGTGCTGGGGTCACCAGAAGTGGCCAGCACCTGCGATCGCCTGGGGACAGCGATCTGAGCACAAGTACAAACATTACTGCTAGGGCTGCGGAGGCCTCAGTACCGCAGCTCTCCATTCCCTCCGCGTTTTTACCGCAGGCTGACTGACAGCAATGAGGCGAGGCTGGTCTATCCTGAATGTACCCTGCAGGCTTATCATTTGCCACAAGGACAGGGCTGATTAGCTCGCCACACAGCTCTCCAGTCACACGCAGGGCACAGGCTGTGATGACAAAGACCACCACCAAAAGGAGCAAGAGCAGACATGGAAGAATGCAGTGATGGGCACATGGGGAAGGGTTGGCTTGCCGGGACGCCGCTGAATGTCACGTAGCAGCAGAGCCCTCCATCTGACCCAGAGTGTTGGAGGGCCCTTTGACAAGCAGGGTCATCAAAGCTCCACATGTGCTTGATGCTCATGGAGGAGGAGAATGAAATGGGATGAGACCCAGTCGGCCCTGGAGCTGAGCAACTTGAGAACCTGCAAGGCTCACAAACATCTCCCTCCCACCACACGGCAGAGAGGGATGTTCCATCTGTTCTTGGCCATCACCACCCCCGTCTGGCAGCGCTGATGGCAAGTGTGTGTGTTTTACACTGGCCGACAGACGGCATATTAACCATTCACTTCCCCCCTGCAGTGGATACAAATACATTGGCTTGGGACCAAGCCGGAAGGCTTTTTGCAGGTCAAAGGCAGCGTTCTAGTGGATGGTAGCACGGCCACCTGCCACCCTCTGGCTTACACCAACCCCTCTGTTGCTCTGGGTTTCCCTCTTTCCGTAGGTGCTAGCTCTAGGGGGCAGGGGATGTGGCCACACTTCCTGGCTTGAAGTAGATTTGGATCTATGCAGGGTTTGCAGTTTGGTTCCATGGCTCTCAGCCCCCCGCCTCTCTCTGGTATGTCCTTCCAAGCCCTAGAGTAGCCACCTTGCCCTAAAGACATAATGCTGCCTATCATGAAAGGGACATTACAAATACTGCACAATCGCTCAGGCTGTTCGTCTGGCCAGAAAATCTAAGCACACCTAAGTCACATGAGCATCCCTGGGGAGTCACTCCCAGGCCTGCTACACAATCTCCCAGGCCCTCCGCCCCCACTGCAGGAACTGCCGCTTCATACATAGACCTGGATGCTTAGTGTAAGAAGAGTGCGCCGCTGGCCTTCCCAGGGAGCAGCACGGAGCTCCCTTCCTTGTTAGCCTAGGAGTGTGCAGGGCTCAAATGATCATTTCTCCCAGGTTATGTAAGAGACAACAGACAGGTGAACGATTCTAGTGTGAAACGAGCAGAGCAGTGAAAGGCCCCAGCTGCCAGCCCCATGGCGTAAGTGTGCGCACCCATTAACACTGAGCTTGCAAAATGGGGTTTATGAACCGGACAAGTTCTTAGCCTTCCAACACGTCCCTTTCACGCCACGGGGAAATTCTAGTCAAATAGCTCTCTCCGCCTGAGTCATCTCTGAGAAGACAAGGCCTGAACACACTTCTGCATTAGGACTGGCTCATCAAGCAAGCACGTCACTATTACATCTTCTCTCCCTTTAGATGCTTGTTTCAGGTGTCAGCCAGCGCTACGCTCTACATCAAAAAGCAGAGAAGTCCGGGGAAAGAAAGGAAAATGAACGGAAGGAAGGACACCAAGACCTGATCATAACAGACTCTCTGCTAAACGTTACCACAGGCAATGGAGGTTTCTGGGCCCTTTGTTTGATGAAAGCAAAAAAACCCTCCCTCCCGTCATGCAGCAAAGCTCTTACATGAAGTACTATGGAAAGGACTGGGAATAATTCTGCATAATTGAGCCAGATGTTTATCAGCTTTTTCTCAGTTTCCTACTCTGCTCATCTTAGAAAGCCACAGACTCGCCATTCGAGCCTGAAAGACAACACACACAGTTCTTGGTAGCTCTGGCATTCGTCTGCAGGCGTGTCAGTCTGCGTGTGCAGAGGAAGCCTCCGAGGGGGAGGCTGGACAAGGCCTGGTTCATATAGATCAGGGTCCCCCAACTGCAGTCTTGTCTTTGACAGAGCTCCAGCTTATGGCTCTCCAGAAGAGCAGTCGCATGAGCCTTTCCAACACATCAAGGGGCAGTCCCTGACCGAGAACTATGTGGTAGGAACATAACTCCCAGTGGGGGCCACCCATGCCAGACAGCTTGATGGGAAGGAGGCAGATGAAAAGGAGGCCTCCAGCCCTCTGGGAGTGGTAGTGAAGGGCCCGTGCTCTGCATGGACCGCAGAGGCAGAAGAGAGCAAGAAGAGCCAGCATTTCTAGTTCTCAGTGCTGAGGGCCAAGGAAATGGGGGACAGGGTTTCTCATCTAGAGAATCCCCCCTTAAACATTTAATCTATTTTCATACCCCTGGAGCTGCTGCCTCATGGTACTACCTTTCCAAACAGCGGAAGCTTTGACCTAGATCAGGGTTACCCAACATGTGGCGGGAGCTAAACCAAAAAAGGAGTCAATATAATGGTCTTCTGTTGAGATGCATTTTAGTAGTTAAATCCCTGGACTGGCATTGCTCATTCAAAGTGCTGTCATGGGGTGGAAATTGGGTAAATGTTGCATTTTATTAATATCAGCAGAACAGACTTAAATGGGGCCTGCATGTTGCATAGTTTTGCCTTCATCTTGGTATTCATGTCCGTCAGAGTGAAAGAAGCTATTTGCATATATTTGCATGTACATGCAACCACACTTAAGTTGCAGCCCTCGGCATGTGCTGTATCATTGTGACCCCCAGGGCTTCCAAAGTTGAGTAGCTCTGACCTAGATCCCTCTGCAGCCTTTCATTACCCTTGTCCCACAAGGCTCTCTGCTACACCAGGGCCTCCACCTCCCTGTTGGTTCATACGCACAGGCCCAAACTCAGCTGATGCAGAATGTGCGATTGCAGTGCCAGCCCAGAGACCAGGAGGCCCCCGGACCAGGCCTGTCCATGCTACGATCTAGAGGTGGAACTCCCCTGCTCATGGATTCAGACTTGAGCTTGCAGGAGCCTAAACTGCAGCATAGCCACAGCAGCTGCCCAGCTCAGCCATGTCAAGAACAAACTCACCCAAAACCAGGATGTGTGCGCGTGCACGGGGCATGCGTGCATGGGGCAGACAGCTCAGAGCCGCCTGCTACAGCGGCCACACTGCGATGTATGCGCAAGCAGAGGAGTCATGCCTCTATCACACTGTGTGGACATGGCTCGGGTCCTCTTCGGCAGAGGTATCCAAGTCCATGCAGTGTTGGAACAGGAAACTATGACATGCCTACTTTCAATTGTGATTGATGCAGAACAAATGCAACAGGTTCCCAACTGAGCTCGGGACACCCAGCACACAAGACGATCAGACCGCCTATTGACTTGACAAGGCTTCCTCCGCCTGTCTCTCCCAGGATATCTATAAACGTCTCCTGGTTACAGACCGCAGTTCCCGCCTGCCTGCCCCCTCTGCTGGGGAGGGGAGCTATTTACTATGAACTCAAAGGATGGAGGTGGTGAACGCAGGGATGTGCCTGAGTAATGAAGAGAAAGGAGGCAGACAGTGAGAACAGGAACCAATTACCCATTGAGTGTCCTCTCCCATCTGCAGTGACAGGCAGAATGCAGAAGGAAAGAAGCAGATATTAGTCAAGCATAAAGCAATGCTGAACAAATTCCCTGGAGAGCTGGCAGCATCTGTTAACCATTTCCATTCATTTCCAGCTGGCCAACCCAATAGGCCCCGTGCTGTATATACACACAGGTAAAGCCAGCTCCGCTAACAGCACACTTGGAGCAGAATACAGCTGGATTAATAACACTACCTGCCCCACCCAGCCTACCAAATTCTCCCTCTTACAATAATACAATCACCCTTTGCATCATGGGGCCTGAGGCTTGGTCACAAGCAAAACAGCTTGGACAGCTTTCAGGCTTGGCAGCCTATCACTGTCCTCAAGTCGCACTGCTAGAAACAGGAGCAATGCTCCCTCATTTTTCCCACCCAGGTGCAGAATAAGATGTGTTCTGTGCACTGAGGCACGTGCCAATGTGCACCATCCATAGAAACACATGCTGCTAATCAGCAGGATGGTGTCTGACCCTCTCTGGAGGAAGATGCCAGACCTCCAAACAAACAGCAGTGATGATAGCCCTGAACCTCAAACAACTGCACCAGTTCTGCTTTACGTTAATTGGCTCCGACGACTCTGCAGATGCTCTGCAGTTAAAGAGCAACTGTCCTGAAATTTTATTCCACTAAGTAATTTCACTGACTTGCGCAGCAAATCCGGCACTGCCACCTCACACCCCAGCGCCTGTGTGTATGTGAACGGTGCTCTGCGGGACACAACTCTACCACGTCTACACAATACACATTGATGACTGGCTGCCACCACCACGTCTGCAAGAGGAAGGGAGGCACGCCGAGGACCTGGCCAGGCGCAGAGCGAGAAAGGATGGAGATACTGACAGGAGCTGCAACAACCAGGGTCCAAAACCTGAATGGTCCTTTGCCAGAGGACTGCTAGCTCTATCGATGCAGCCAGATAGCACGCAAAGCTTTACTTTATTCGGGGGCTTGCAGGAGACCCACGACATGAATTAATTCAGCTAAGAGCTACGCGGTCATCGCTCCGGGAGCTAGAGGAAAACGCTGAGTTAGTAAGAACTTGCGCAAAGTGAATCTACCTGCCAGCGAGGAAAACAAAGCGTTCCCAGTAGAATCATGGAGCTGGCTGTGAAGCAAACTGTTGCCAGTCTGAGGATTGCTTTGGGCTCATTTCATATAAGGCCTGGTGCTCACTGCAAAGCCATCTGTGTGAGCAGCATCCATAGGTCTCCTTGGAGCGGTCAGACACTTTCAATAGGCTAATGGACTATGGCTCTGTGCATGCGTTTCTGACCAATGAGATCTGGGGGCTTGCAGAAAGCCAGTTGTCGCTCCTGCAAAGCACTGTTCACAGAGCTGTCACACTAACAGCGCACGGGAAGAGCCCTAACCCAAGAGGGCGACGCAAAGCAGGATGAAAGGCAGATGGCAGCGTGAGGGGGAGGAAGAGAGAATTCCAGGGGAACGTGTGGCTGGCAGAGGAACGATGAGGAAGGATAGTCATTTTGGATCCCAACATAGGTGGTGGGGGGAGGTAGGGCTAGAGGAGGCAAGCTCCCTAACCCTGCCCCTTCTGCCCAGGCCCCAGCTTCCCAGTACCTGGAGCAGCAGAGGGCGGGTGGGCACTGGGGGACAGCATCACTCCGCCTCCAGTGGGAAAGGCCAGGCTGGCTGTTGCCTTTCCCTGCCTAGGACACCCACCGTCCCCAGATCCCAAACTCACTGTTAAGCAGCCAAAAGAGCCTCCACTCTCCATTGGCCCCCTGCAATGGGGATGTGGGATGTCGTTTTGTTAGGAGGCGGGGGATGGAAGTCTCTCCCTCCTGGAGTCTCAATTCCACCTCAGCTTGGGCCGTTGAACTCCAACGTCCCCGTACGTGTACCCGCACCTACACCAGGCTGGGCAGAAGTGGCCTGCAGGCCGGACACACTTCACCAGTTTGCCCAATGGGCTGCCAGATGCTTTATTTGCCTGCACGCCCACAGACACAGCCACTCACTGTTGACCGTGGATCACGGTTCCCGGCCAACGGAAGAAGGGCCCGGGAGACCACTTCCTGCATCTCTCATTGGCCGGGAGCGATGATCCACAGCCAACAGGAGCTGCAAGTGGCTATCCCTGCAGACATGCAGGTAAATAAAGCATCCAGCGGCCTGCCAGGGGCTAACCCTGGTGAACCACGTCCGGCTCGCAGGCTGCTTATTGCCCAACCTGACCTACACACACATGGCACGTGCTCGGTCTCACATCCACACCACCACAGACAGAACGGCCGGGGGGCGAGTCACTTGTCCATACCACAGATGGGGAGACAACAACAGGGATATAGCTTCAGCGGCACATGACTAGAAAGCATTGGGGGGAAGCTCCACCCAGAAGGCTGCACTAACACCATGTCTAACTCACGCCAACAACCATTTGATTGCCCTTGAAGTCTGAGGGAGAGGAGACTGCTCAGCATTTCGCCTGGGCATTGCGCAGCCGCAGAGACTTACTTCAGCAGAACAAGTGACAAAACTCTGCCTGGTCCAACATTCAAATTTCCAAATGGGTCCCAGCTTTAACATCTCCAACACCAACACGGAGAAATCCTCTCTCAAAGGCTATTCTAATTAAGGCCTTATACTACACCCATCACCACGGTATGTGAGCCCAACAAATAACAAAAAACAGGTGCACTGCATGCATAGCACCAGAACTACAGCTTAGATATAGAGCGTTCCAGCAGTACAGGCAGTCCCCGGGCTACGTACTTAGGGAAGCTAAGGCAAAGATGGGAGAAAGTGACTTGCCCAAGGTCACCCAGCAGGCCAGTGGCAGGAACAGAAGCCAGGTCTCTTGAATCCCAATCCAATGCTCTGCCTACAAGGTGTCTCTACAATACAGAGGCATCCACAGGCAGATTCGTGTCGCTCTTTGGAGCTGCCACAGATGGTGCTGCTCCATGGAAGGCCCAGATGCGACTCCTAGTTCCTGGGCGCTGCAGTAATGCGTGGCTGTGACTGTCGTTTCGCTCACTGCGCTGCGCTCACACGGCCCAGCCTCCTCGGGATTCCAGCCAGGGACAACCTTGTGTGCTCCACCTGAGTGAACTGCAAACTTGCAACCCTCTGCTCCGTCAGCACCGAGACAGAGCTCAGGCGGACACATGCGACCTCTGCCCACTATCAAAGGTGGCTGGGTTTCCGGTTCATTAGCAGGTGAAAGGCCAGGCCTGGACGAGTGTGTCTAATGACTGTTTCACTCTGATTGCTCGAGCCAGGGGAGTGCTTGGCAAACAGATTCCTTTCAGCCATTTCTCTCATGTGCTCACTTGACAAAACTCCCACTTCTGACCCAGCTCACGTGAGGTTAATTACACAGTACCAAAGGCTAAGTGTGCTACTCTTTGTTACTGCCTCAGGACAAGAACCACCACACCCAGCTCCCCTCTCCATAATCAATTTCCCCCCTGCAGGACTCTCTCCTGGCAGCTTCTGCCCAGCTTGTCTCCCGGGAGCAAAAGCAGCCTGTGTTTATCCAAGCCGATGTGTGACCCTTTCAGGAGGAGAATCCCACCTGGAGCTGCTCTGGAGCAGGGGAGGACTCGGCAGAGCTGCGGAGTGGCCTAGCTGCAATTAACATGTGTCTGATACTAAACTGAGGTGTGCTCTGGGGCACACACCAATAGGAGGCTGTACGGCTGGTGCAGCAGCATGTGGCGGGCCACAGAGATGGACCACTCAACAGGACTTAGTGAAACTGAAGGGCAAAGCTCTTTTTGAAGCGGAGTTGGGATATTTTACAAAGTACTGGATTGCCCAGGGTCATAAAATAAAAGTGGCCTTCCCGGGCAGAGGGATCATGAAAGAGACAGTAACATACGAGGGATTCTAGAGCCCGGGACAATGTCCCTTTTACTAAGGGAAGAACCTGGCAGCAAGCTGGCAGGGAAGTAACTGTGGCCAAGTGACCCAGGCCTTTCTGATTTGCCTCTAGGCTTAGGGCTGCAAGCACCTAGCAGAGCGACTAGCCACGGTCTTGCCCCAGCACAGACCACGAACGATTCCGGTGGCTCCAGTTACTTCTTGCCAGCTGCAAGCGAGTGGGGTTGCTTACCAAGCTGTCCAGCCCTCCTCCCAGGAGGTCCACTGCACCCATCTGCATGGAGGATACTTGGGGCACGTTCACAGGGGGGCCCAGATCAAGGTTCAGAAGGTCACCCAGAAGATCACCCTGCGATGGAATAACCTGAGGCTGCTCCAGGTTTGTCGTGGCAGCGGGTCCCACTGGGCTGTCGCCTGCATCGGTGCTGCAGGGGGAGAGAAGCCAAAAGGTTAGTCACCTTCACTACGGACTTTGGAGCACCAGGGAAAAACAAGGCTGAAACGGGTGACTCAGGAGCAGCAGCCAAGCGATTCTAAGTAGCCGTGTCCCTTGCTGACCGCTGACAACCCAATTGTGTTACAATCCCAATTGGCAGTGGGATTCAGAACAGGCCATGAGATCAAAGGAACCGCCCAAGGATATTACTTCACCCACTTCCTCTAACATCCTGGGACCAAGCTGGCTACAGCCATGCTGCAAGCTTGTACTGCCACAGCCTTTTGGGTGAACCCATTTTCTGCAGCCGGCTGGACACAGGAACTGAGCAAGTCCTCTTCCTGCTGTATCACGGCAGGTGTAATTGGCGCTTGCATAGAAGTTCCTTGGAATTTGCATACTGATAAGGGTGCTCTCTTGTAGGGGCTCGAGCACCCCGACCCTCCTCTTTATCCAGTCTTGGTTACGCCAGAGAGCACAGGGGGAGTTTTAGAACTAGACTGTGTATGTGCTGCTGGCAGCTGAGGCGTATGAAGGACACAGAAAATGTACCACAGAATGGGAGAGTCCGTTCCCAGCCAGTGAAGAAGAGAGACTGAAAGTTTCTTTGCATTAAAGGTTCTAGATTAGTAAGTGTTAATTATCCATTTTCCTTTCTGCCTCTCCCGTCAGCAGTGGAACTCTCTCGCCTACTGTCTGTGCTGCACATTGTTGTTGGGCGAAGTGTTTTTAATCAGCCAGCAGAATCCCAGAGCCCCATAGCTCCCACCAAGAGTGAACTGTGGGATCAAAGCAATTCTAATTCTCACACACACACACACACACACACACACACACACCCCCACCCTTCCTCTCCCATGTACGCAGCCTCCTAGCACTCCAGCTCCTCTCCACATGCACATCCTCACATTCTGCTAGCGGGGACTGCCAAGCAATTTTCTTTAGGGGTGTCCAACTGCCCTATAATCCCAGAGAAATTCCCAGGATAGAACGCAGATCAATTGGGCTCATGTTAATGCACCATAACGTCCCATTTGCAAAACATCTCCTGACACAGGACTTTTTCCTTACAAGCTTTTTGTTCACGACTTGAGATTTTCCTCCAAGACTCAAAGGAACCGAGGACACAGAGCCAGGCTATAATGATGCTGTTCTTTCCTTGCCCTGAAACTACAAGAGGGTTCCTTTTTCCAAAAGTGCTGCCTGAATGGCTACATTTGGCACCAGCATAGCTCCTGGGGTCCTGTGTCTTAGTCTAACCAGCCCCTCTCTAGCTGCCTCTGCTTGCACTGCTCCCAGAGCAGAACAGAAGCCAGAACTTGGAGCCCTGGTGATCGCCTGCCCTCCCAGTCTGAGCCTCCTGCCTGCAGTGGCATAGAAAGGAGGTGGGAGAAACAGTGCAGACAACTTCCTGGACACCAGGGCTATGTCTAGACTGGCATGATTTTCCGCAAATGCTTTTAATGGAAAAGTTTTTCCATTAAAAGCATTTGCGGAAAAGAGTGTCTAGGTTGGCACGGATGCTTTTCCGCAAAAGCACTTTTTGCGGAAAAGCGTCCGTGCCAATCAGGACGCGGTTTTGCGCAAGAAAGCCCCGATCGCCATTTTCATGATCGGGGCTTTTTTGCACAAAACAATTCTGCGTTATCTACACTGGCCCTCTTGCACAAAAGCATTTGCACAAGAGGGCTTTTGCCCGAACGGGAGCAGCATAGTGTTTCCACAAAAGCACTGACAGTCTTACATGAGATCGTCAGTGTTCTTGCGGAAATTCAAGCGGCCAGTGTAGACAGCTGGCAAGTGCTTTTGCGGAAAAACTTGCCAGTCTAGACACAGCCCAGAGGTTCTCCACAACTCCCTCCTCAGGCTCTAGGGATTTTCTCCAGGAGGCCTTTGGTGCTCACGCAAAGTGGTGGAGCAGGACCAGAAACACCTGACCAGCTGTGAGCTGTTCACAACATGGCTGAGTGCTGCCCAGCAGCTGAGAGAGAGCAGGAACACAGACAAAAGCCAGCACAGTGCTCTGTTCATGCAACAAGATACCCTCCCCCCTGCTGACCACAGCTATTACTGATTTCTTCAAGGACTATGCCCCCAGATCTCTCAGCACCAGCTAGTGCTGCCCATCCAATCAGGACCAGCCAATCAGAGTAGAATCCTGGCCTATTATAAGAGGACACACTGCTCCCGGAGAGCAAGATCCCATCCAAGCTACTGGGTGAAAAGCTCGTCCCCCTTAGCTTATCCAAACAAACAGGTTTTCCAGTGTTCCCCACGAATCCACTCCCCGCAGCAGTGCCACAGGCAGGCTGCTTGTGCTGAAGGCATGACTGAAGGTGGCCATCTGGCTCACAGCAGCAATGCTGCACAGGAGGCCTTTGATACGCGCAATCGATCTGTCTGTCGGCTGGGAGCAAGGGAGAGCATCTAGCACGGGATTGGGGTAGGCGGAAGGCAAGCGAAGGGGGCATGGTTTGCCCTGCAACACCGGCACTCACTACTCATTTAAGAGGAGTGCCCGAGTCCCAGTACCAGAATTTAAGGGGCTTCTCATATTTTTCATTTCCCCTTTTTTCCCAGTGCAGCAGCGGCAGCCAGAGCCAGTGTTGGCCCAGGCAGCAGGTAATTAAGGAAAAGATGATGGAGCCCTGCAGAGCTATCCAAGCAAGCGATGTGAGAGGAGCAGAGTGGACGGGCTGGCTGAGCAGCAGCTGACCGTGGCACGTGAGTGCTCGGTGACGAGAGAACTCCTGAAGTGGTCAGACAAGGAAGAGCTGTCAGCTGCTGCGAGGATGTGAAATGCACGGCACAGGGGTGAGAGAGCCAACCTTTAGAACACTGGTGGCCACAGAGAGTCAAAACAGTGGCGGAAAAAATACAAAAAAAAGCCCCCCAGAACAGAATTGTCGAGCAAACAAACACATTTTTTAAAAAGGAGGCTGCCCCTTTAAGACGGCCACCATCTCGGGCACCATTTTTAAAACCCCACAGCTTCAACCCAGTAAGCAAAGGGAAGCTGGGGGGGAGGAAGGGGAGAAGGAAGCTGGTGGGCGCTATTGGGTGGGGCGCATGAGCGGCTTCGTGAGCTGCACTTTTGCATGCTGCTCACGAGCCGTGGGTTGGCCGTGGATGCTTTAAAGAGCTGCTCAGACTGTGGAGCTGAGAATCTTACAGACCCACCCCCTGCAATGTCGGAGAGCCTGGAATGGGGATGGTACCTGAGCAGTGCAGTCACAGCTTTTGTGTCTCTGCACACTGGTACCAGGCTATCCCGAGAAACACCGATCTGAATGGGCTTGTCGCCACAGGCCCTGGGCACTAGTGCCAGGCCATGGCTCAGACCCAGGAAAAAAGCAATTCAGCATCCCCAAGTCAGTCGCATGACAAAGTCCTTTCGCTATTAGAGTAGCAGAATGGATGGAGGGATGGGGCTAGACAACAGCAAAGGAACAATCGCCCATATGATTTATCAGTCAGATGGGCAGGAAATTCAGTGTTCCAGATGGCCCTGCCAGGCTGCCAAGAGGGGAGCTTAGACACTTTACTTCCTGCCACAAGCAAACCTGCAACTGTCATCAGTAGACTTACCAAGCAGAATCAGCCATGGTGACAGAGAGCAGCAACACAGCAAGGATCCCTGTGGCTGGCAACTGGATGCCAGAGTCCCAGACTGCTATCTGGGTGGGCCTCTTTGGCTAGTTCTTTAACCCTAGAGTGGTGTCCAGGGAACAAACTGAACCATCTGGACTGTCACAGGTAGCTCACGCTTTCTGCCATAATTCAGACCTCAACCTACCTCATGACTCTAGGCCAAACATCTTTATTAATGACCTGGATGAGGGGGTGGATTGCACCCTCAGCAAGTTCACTGATGTTACTAAGCTAGGGGGAGAGGCAGATATACTGGAGGGCAGGGATAGGGTCCAGAGTGACCTAGACAGATTAGAAGATTGGACCAAAAGAAATCTGATGAGGTTCAACAAGGAGAAGTGCAGAGTCCTGCCCTTGGGACGAAAGAATCCCAAGCATTGTTACAGGCTGGAGACCGACTGGCTAAGTAGCAGTTCGGCAGAAAAGGACCTGGGGACTATAGTGGATGAGAAGCTGGATATGAGTCAACAGTGTGCTCTTGTAGCCAAGAAAGCTAATGGAATATTAGGGAGCACTGCCGGCAGATGTAGAGAAGTGATTATTCCCCTTTATTCGGCTCTGGTGAGGCCACATCTGGAGTATTGTGTCCAGTTCTGGGCCCCCCACTATAGAAAGGATGTGGATGCATTGGAAAGGGTCCAGCAGAGAGCAACTAAAATGAGGAGGGGGCTGGAGCACATGACCTATGAGGAAAGGCTGAGGGATTTGGGTTTGTTTAGTCTGCAGAAGAGAAGAGTGAGGGGGGATTTGATAGCAGCCTTCAACTTCCTGAAGGGAGGCTCCAAAGAGGATGGAGAGAGGCTGTTCACAGTAGTGACAGATGGTAGAACAATGAGCAATGGTCTCAAGTTGCGGTGGGGAGGTCTAGGTTGGATATTAGGAAAAACTATTTCCCTTGGAGGGTGGTGAAGCACTGGGCTGGGTTCCCTAGGGAGGTAGTGGAGTCTCGATCCCTAGAGGTGTTTAAGTCTCGGCTTGACAAAGCCCTGGCCGGGTTGATTTAGTTGGGATTGGTCCTGCCTTGGGCAGGGGGCTGGACTTGATGACCTTCTGAGGTCTCTTCCAACTCTATAATTCTGCATGGGCCTGACCCTTTTCTCCAGGCTCCCTGCTTTCAAAGATCCCGAGCATCAGCAAGAGCTCTTCAGCCGTTTCTCCCACTGTGCGCTCCCCACTGTGGGAGAGGTCAACTGTGTACCTGGCCGTGGGAGAAGGGAGACATTTTCCATGTAGCCAAGTCCTGCATTTCCCAAAAACCTCTCGCACCATCCCAGAAACACACACCTCCCAAGGCAGTGTGCGCATCGGCTGCTTTTCTCCTCTTGCCAGCCCTGCACCGCTTCAAAGCTTTTATTTCTCCAGCCCCTCTATCAGACTCTCCTCCCTGTGTCACTCCAAAAGCGGCGCAGAATTCTCTTTTCCCCTGCCACACACCTAACAGACTCATCTCTGTGCTGCTTCCTATCTCCTTTGTGGTTTCCAACACGCTAGCCACTAGCCATGTGTGGCTACTTGGCCAGTTGAGCGTGGCTAGGTCGCTACAGCAGTAGCCCCTCTAGTAGCTACTGCTTCAGAACTGGTTGGACATCGCGGGTCTAGAAGCTCAGAAGCTACAACTAGGGTAAGAGCCTTGTATGGGACAGGCTCGGAGATGGCTCGCTGAATGATCTGCGCAAACCTCTGGAATTGGGAAGATCTGGCTTTTGTAGCAGACCCTGGCATCTTTTCAGTTTCTTAGGAGGGAAGAAAACCACAGCTCTCCAACACCCTCCCTGGTGGCTCCTGGCTTACCTTCCATGGTGAATTGGCAAGTGTTTGCGGTGGATCCCATGGCTGCCCTCCACAAAAGCATTGGGGGGCTTGTGATACACAGACGCCAGTGACCCGATGTGGCAGATCAGCTCATCCAGCAGAGTCGGCTCGATCAGGTCAGTCTCCTCCGAAATCAGAGGCTTTTCCGATAAGACCACTTCTTTGGCAGTCACGGGGTCCGTGGAGAGAAGGCGCCAGTAGATATAGCCACGATCCCGCAGGTCTGGGTTGTCCGAATCCTAAGATAAAACTCTGCATTACTCTAGTGGCTGACCAAGTTTGACTGCTCCAACTATAGCCTGCTTCTACTGTCCTTCATTTAAAACACTTGTTGGAAGAGCAGCGTTGGCCAGGAGACAGATGCTAGAGAGACTGCTATTCCTTGGCAATCAGTCACCTTACTAGAAAAATCCCAGGGTCTTACCCTTTGTGCTCATTCCCAAACACAGCTAATCTGGGTGGTCAGAGAGGAAAACCCTAGACTTACATTTAGTAAAATTTAAAAAGGGTTCAACTCCTCAAGGTTACTAAGCACAGAAGCTGATGTAATTTCAAATGTGATCTTCAAAATGTCCTGAAAGACGCAGTGTAGCCAGAAGGATGGGGAAGGGGATCAAATTGACTCCTTCAGCCACTACGTATCATGAAAGACAATAGCCAAAGATTTCTGGAAATGTGTCTCATTCGAGGGCACTGGAGGGACAAGACACACAACGTTGCAATATGGGGCTGGTTTGCCTTTCATCATTTACAGTTTTATGCCGGGAAGGTCTCGTTTACTCCTCCACTTTGTTAATAAGACAGATACGAAGAGACACAAACTGAATTGACTGTTATGGCTTTCTTCCATTCCCAGGCCTCCAGCTGTTAACATCTTTGTTTTATTGGAGATAATTCTTCCCTAGCATGAAATCTCCATTCCCTTTTCAAATAAAAGCTCTCCTTAAAAAACCAAAGCAAACAGATGCTGTCTACTCAACACCCAGGCTGGGAGTAGCAGCGAAAGATGGATGAGCCTAAACATTTTCTCACTCACTACATCTCCTCACCCCCCCAGCGTCCTCCTTCTCCAGCTCTGTGATGCCAGGTGTCCAAGTTGCAATAGCCCCCTGTGATACCAGGGTTCAGAACTTTCTCCCGCTTGGAACACACGAGCGGCCATTTGTAAGACGACTGAGCTGGCTAACCCCGTTCCACTTGCTGTGCTCTAGCAGTGATCTCAAGTCGTCAGAGGCCAATTGCTCATGCCTCTCATCGCGGCACCTTGCCTGGTGAGCTGCTACACCTAAGGGGGGGGATCTTTTTTAAACCCTCTTGACCCCCATCAAGAGACACTAACTCATCCAACCTACCAGTTGCCTGCTTACGGTCAAGCAGGGCCTTTGAGGGCAGATGGAGGGGATGATCACTTGCTCCAAACTGCCTTTCAATACAAGACAAGTCAGAACTCTGCTTCCTAAGAAGCCTTCCTGTCGGCAACACAACTAGGGGAGTTTGACCTGGTAAAGGGCAAACTCAGATTTTCCTCTCCGCTTCCCTTTCCTGCCCTCCCCATGAAACACAAGCAGAGACCAACGATGTCTTCTACCCAGAGAAGAGAAGCATGCTCATTCGCTCACGCTCAACTGGAAACTAGGGAGCTGCACCTATGAAAGCGAGCGCAGAACAGTGACACGGCCCTGGGCGCGCAATGCCTGGCTAATCACATGAAAACACAATAAACCAGACTCGATGGAGGTGTGTGAAATAAGCCTATTAGAATCCTGGCCTGTTTTGAGACTCGGCAGGCAGAGCACATCTTCGGCAGGCCCTCTCTGTAACCATGCCTAAGCCTTCCCCTGCAGGCCACTTCATAGCCTGTCCAATAGCAACTTCATCTTCACTGCCATGTAAACTCTGAAGCCAACTTCTTTCCCTCACCTTCCAATAGCTCCCTACACATCCAGGAAAGACTTCTAAATGGCAACAGACCCACGCTCGTGACCTTTGAAAAGAGGCTCAGGGGCTGGATACAGCCCCTGGCTTGCCTGGATTCTGGACCCCAAGGCTTGGGGCTCTCCCCGCCCAGCAACAGAGAGCCCCACCACTTTGGTGTGCAAGGAGAACATGGGGAGAGTCTTTCTGCTTCTAAGTCAGTGGCCACAGGCCAGCGAGGCGTGTTTTTGTGCAGCCCCTGACTGATATTTCTGTGGGTCAGTGACCCCCAACTCAAAAAAGGTTCCTGCCCGTTTTACAGCAAGGGTGACTAGTAGATGTTGTTTCAGACAGTTCTGAAATAGCAAAACAGAAGCAAACAATTGCAGGGCCCTGTTATGAAGCCCTCCCCTGAAATGCTGCTCAGGAGAAACTAGGTGTGCACGGCGACATCTTGAGTTGGTGCACAACACCGAACGGCCTGCGTGCGCGGGGCCCTGGCAGCACGGCTTCCCAGCACCTTGCCTCCCGGGAAAGCTCAGCTTACCTGCGTGGCCAGGCTCAGGACCTGCTGGACCAGCTCCTGTGTTTCTGAGGGTTTCTTTAAGAACAACTTGACTATTGCAGTCAGCAGGGTGAGCTGCACCTAAGACCAAGCAGCAACACAGCAAGAGATTCAATGAGCCGCACTGGCATTGGTGCCTGTCCCCTCTCCCCCGCCACTTGAGCTCCAGCATGGGGGTTAGTACATAGCTACGGGAGTCCTCCATGCACATCAGGATCGTGATTGCTCAGTTTACTGTTTTACTGCCATTGTCGGCAACTAGCAGCAGCTAACAGCAAAACAAATGATACACAGATTTGGATCTTGCCTTCCCATATTAGCTTCTTACCCCAATTGGTTTTAGCAGCTTGTCCTTTGTAAGTCCATGGCCCTAACTGTGTATTCATTTCACCAGCCATGTGAAACATGCTGTTAGGGCAGCCACACCACCAGCACAGGTTATCCTAGAGCAGTGGTCTCCAACCTTTTTACACCCAAGATCACTTTTTAAATCTCAGAACAGGCGAAGATCTACCGCCCCGCCCCTTCCTTGAAGCCCTATTCTCTCTATTCTCCTCCTGTCCATCACTTGCTATACCCAGCCCTTACTTACACACTCTGATAAACAGTTTATTTTTAAATTATGTGATATATAAAATTAAAATCACGTGTTTATAGTTAGGAAATAAATGGTCTGTTTTTTATTCATGCTATTTAAATCTAAAATGAAGCATTTATAATTATACATATTGTGGGGACAGAGTTCTGCGGCTGGGGGCAGGGGAGAGGGAACAGGGTGCTGGGAGGGCAGGGAACAGGGTTCTGCAGCAGGGGACAGAGTGCCAGTGGATAGAGACAGAGTTCTATAGCTGGGAACAGGAGAGTGGGGACAGAGTTCTGTGGCTGAGGACAGCGTTCGGGGAGTGGGGACAGCATTCTGTGGATGGGGATAGCGTTCTGTAGCTGGGGTGCCAGTGGAGGCAGAAAGTCCCCTGCATCTGCCTCCTCCCAGGATTCCTCTCCCCCCGCCCCCCGAGGGAAACCAGCACGCACCTGTCCCGGGGCCGACCCCCCCACCCCGGCGCAGGGAAACCCTGTGCGCGCCTGCCCCAGGGCCGACCCCGCGCGTGCCTCCCTCGAAGCTGACTCACCTCTCCTGTGCAGTGCAGGGAGCCGATGCTCCCTCCCGCAGTACACCCGGCAGAGCAGCTAGTGCACTTCTGGAATTGCCAGAGGTGGCGCTAAGCTGCGGGACTTCTGTCCATCCCCGGGAAGGCGACACTACCTCCATTTTCACTTGAAGTAAGTAGTGGGGCTTCTCGGGGGTGGGAGGGAAATGGGGGCGGGCGGACAGGACGCCTCGTGATCGACCTGTTGGTGACCATGGTCCTAGAGTGTACCCCAGCACAGGCGGCTCATACCACAGACAGTGGGGCACTTATTTTAAGACCTAGCAAGCTACTGTGCATAAGGCTTCTCCTTTGCTCAGTGCAATTTCCACCTGTCTGATGCATTGTTCACTATTCTAGGAAGAAGCAAAAACCCTTAAATCACCCGCCAGACAGCTGAGAAGATTTTATTCCAGCTTCAGATTGAGGGGTTCCTACCTATTCAAATGGGACACAAAGGGCTAGTTGAAAATTCTCCACCAAACTTGTTTGACAGAAAATTGGGGTTTTGTCTAAAGACAAAACTGGCTCAAAAAGTATCTGCTTTCCACAGAACAGTTTGATTTTTGTCACAAAACCAGTGTCAATAGGTTGATTTGGAGATGCTGCTATAGTGCCTAATGGGAGCTCTCGTTTGGTTGCCTCATGTTCCCATTCTCCTCTGTGGGCTGGGCTCAGTGGCCAGACTACATCTCCCATGGTGCACCACATATCTCCCCCCCCCTCCAGGGAGTGGACAGAGGTGCCTTCTGGGAGATAGGAAAGACTAGCCTACGGATGTACACATCCTGCAAAGGAAAGCACCAGCATTCCCAAATCCAAGTGTTTTGATTTTGGAATTTTAGCCCCTACAAAATCGGTTTTCTGAGGGGGCAAAACATTTCCCATCCAACTCCACCAGCCCTACCTGTGCAGACTGCATGAGCACCCGAGGAAGGGGATGTTGAGCAGTTGTACCTGGGTGCTTTCATCATGGAAGCCCTCCAAGAAGCTCTCCAGCAGTTCATCCGCGTTGTCGATTCTCTCTGCGTATTCGCCCACTATCCAGATCATGGCAGCCCTGGCATCTGGCTCGTCCAGGGAGTCGAGGTTCTCGCATAGCGTGGCAATGATGCTCTCATACCTGATTTATCAGAGCACTGAGTTATCAAATCATGGTGAAACTCCAGCCTCATTCACAGTGGGCGGTCAGTGGCAAAGCCCCTGGGCCAAGTCAAAACGACTTCCATTTTTATGGGCAATGAGACACATAACAAGAAGACTAATTTCCAGGAAAAAAAAGCATTTCTGTGCACTCCCCTGCCAAAGGGGAGAGCGTCAAAGTAGCTACATTTCAAAGGCTTCTCAAGAGCTTTGTAATTCTCTTCCTCTTCGCAGCAACACTGCAAGAGAAACTCCAGGCAGAGGTGCCTCAATTTGTCTCTTGAAAACAGGATCTGAGATTCAAAATCTCACATCAGCTGAATCACTCCCCTTGAGCCTGTATCAGATTCTGCATTTTCCCTGGCAGCCCCCCTTCCTCACTGGAAATTCCAACCTGTGTATTAAGCACCCATGCCCCCCAGGGGTAGCAGTGGAATGGCCACTGGCGTGAGCCTAGGTTTAACATTTTGTAAGCACTTTCCCATGCTCTCCTGATTACCCTGATGGCGTGGTGGGCATATACCCTGGCAGTCACAACAGGATCTGCTATAGAACCCTGAAGAGGTTCAACCATTAGTATCTACTCATCCCGGAGACTCTGCTGAAAGACACTGATGCTTTATCTGCATGGACAAGAGTCCCTCACACACAAGAGCTGGAAGGGGGCACTGGCCCTCTCTGTGAAAGCAGGTTGCTTTCTTTTGGACAGTAGGCCTGCAGGATTTGCACATACTTGTTGGGATACTTGCGGAAGATGTCCCTGATGACAACAATGGCCTCTTGGACAACGTAGTTGACTTTGGTTTGGATGAGGTCGAGTAGCGTGCTCACGCAGCGCTCTGCAGATTGCTGAGGAGAGGAGAGAAGCGGGACAGTTATCCTACGGCTACCATTTTGGACAAGCACTTCTGCCCAGCACATTGCGTGTAACTGGAGTACCAGGCACCGAAAGCAGGGGCAAGAAAATGAGGCTGGTCTCTCAAGGTAACTAGATCTCAGAGGGATCGCTGTGTTCGTCTGTGTCTGAAAGCCAACAAGGAGTCTTGTAGCACCTTAAAGGTTGACATTCATTTGGGCACGAGCTTTCGTGGGTAAACCCCACTTTGCCAGATGCACAGAGTGGGGGAAACAGAGGTTGGGATACACATGTACTAACACTGCAAAAGAATTCTTTGGCTATGCTAATACATATATAAATTCCAACCTCTGACTCCTTGTTGGTCTGGCAAAGTGGGTTAGTAGTCATGCCCCAGACTGGGACTCCACAGAAGAGCAGCAAGGGGCCCCTAGAATGCTCTCCGGGTCACATGGAGACCCTGGAAACTGGAGCTGCAGTCATTAGGATAGAGGAGCTAAAGGGCTTGGAGGCAGCAGGATGCCACAAAAGAGTGAAGTGGCTGAGACACCGGAGGGACTGAAACACAGCCAGCAAACTGGGCACTAGCAGAGCATGTGATGCCTCATTACACAGCAGGTGATTAATGGGAGGAACAGATTGCTCAAGGCAGTACATACGCAGCCCCCATCAATCACTTCGGAAAGCATTCGGTGAGGATACATCCCGTCCCTCCCCCAGGTGGATGTGAGAGCGGCAGAGCATTGGGGGAGGGTGGAAGAGGTTAAAATCAGGGAAAATTGGCAGCTCAGTCTGAGAATGGGCATAAATCTCGCAGACACACCTCAGCCTGACCCACAGCCCTGACTTGGGCAGAGCACAGAATGCCTCACCCGTGCCCCATTCACCTCCGCATGCCTGTGCTGACAGAAGATCTAGAAATTCCCAGCAACAGACGCCTGCCGAATACCAACCTCCCCTCTTCACTACATTAGGTCTGCTTACTATTGCTCGATACGTACCATGCTATTACGATGGCAGGGAAAAAGCCATCTGAGTTCATGTCATTTAAAGGCATCAGCCTTGATTACAGGCCGCTACGCTCTCTTCTCTCGCTTGACAAAACAGCATTTGAAGCCTGTCAGCTACCAGCTTACAAGTCTCAGGCAGGCAGACCTTTGGCACAAGGCAGGGCCGGGAGATCTCAGCAAGGCCCCCGGGGCCAGAGACCATTATCAGCAGCTAAGTAGCTGTGCGGGGTTGGGCTAGTTCCCCTCCTGGTGGATACCGGGCAGTTCCGAAGCTGCACACTCAGCTCCACGCCCCAGGAACAAAGACTTCTCTTCATTATTACTTACATGATCTTACAGAGACATGGGCTACATTTGGGGACGTTCCGTGGCCTTTTGTTACATGGGTCAGACTGGGATGTAAAATCTCACTGAATCAGTTAACTGGTTAAACAGGGTGGGGACTAGCCTGGCCAGGGGCCCGCCATGGTTCCATCTGGTGTTGGAATCTATGAAGTTTTCCCTAAATTACCACCTTTCCAAAATATTCTTTACAAACCAAAGTACAACTATTGAGTTGAGCAAGCCTGAACATGAAACTGACAGCTTACACTGTCCAAGCACTAAGGCATGCCAACAGGACACAGGAAAAACAAGTTATTATTTGCAACTCTTGCCCTGTGAACGCTGCGGTACAGCCCGTTACACCAGGGATAAGGTTCCTTGTTGCAATGTCTAATTTTTGCGTGAGTGTCCCTTTGAAGAGGTACAGCCACATGGGGATCTGTGCAGTGCGGCAATCCTAAAGTCTCCATGCCAAGATATGCCTCCCCTCCAGAGGGTGGGCAGCCATTTTAAAAGATGGGTATTTCAAAGGTTCCTAGAGGTGGACACTTTACCAGATAATTACAACTTTTATTTAACTGGCTAGTTATAGGAGTCGGCGG